TAAAATGGCGTGTGAAAAGGACGGTTTTTCCCTTGACAACGCTATTATTTTAACTTCATTCATCGGCAATATTTATTGTTTTAAAAAGCGACGATTAGAATTGTAATACAATCTGAACAGATGAAAGTGAATTTATACTTTTTCTTTGTTCTTGAGAAATGACAACGAAAATAAAACTGTTTATTTTTTAGATTATTTATTAGAAAGCTCGGCAAAACATCAAGTAATTGTCAATTGATTCGAACTTTTAAATAATAATTATTATTAACGAAAAGTTGGTTCATATACATATATGAATCAACTTTAAGAAAATACTTGTTATTTAAAGGTTCGAATTGATTGGCAATTAATAGATTAAATTAATTAAATAAGAGTTTAGTAAATTATGAATAAAAAATACGTAGATGCCCACAAGTCTTTAGACAATTTCAAAACGAAAAACTTAGAAAACGTGGTAAGTAAATTTTTAATATGTTATTAAAATTATTTTACTGATATTAATAATTTCATTAATATTATATTTTTATGTTTTTTCTTAATGTTTTCTTTTATGTATTAGATATGGACAGAAATACAATATCGCTTAAATTTGGTTTGTTTTACGGTATATCAACCTCAATGGGTTATTTAATGCCGACAGAATTTCGGATCATCAATCTAACGGTTCTTTCCTATTTTATCAATATATTTTCATATATATATATATATATATATATATATATATATATATATATATATATATATATATATATATATATATAGAGAGAGAGAGAGAGAGAGATAGATAGAGAGATGATAGATAGATAGATAGATAGAACCTGGCTGCACCACACTTTCGGCCGAGTGCTAAAACTAAGCTACGCTTAAACAATCATTTAGGCCAGGCTGACGTGGTGTAATGGATAGAAAACTTGTCTCTCTCGATCAATTACCACTGAAAAAGCGAGTTCGATCCTTACTGGGTGCTCCACACACATCTAAACTAAGCTTAGAAAATCGTTTAGGTCACTTTGTGCTGTAATGGTTAACAAACTTGTCTGTCTAGATCATTTACGACTGAGTAGTGAGTTCGATCCTCACTGGGTGCCTCACAGTTTCGGCCTTCTGCCATATCTAAGCTGCGCTAAAAAATATTTAGGGCACTTTGACGTTGTTTAATGATTATATATATATATATATATATATATATAAAAGTTAACATAGAAGTCAATTATTTTACTTGTTTAACTCAAAATAAATAAATAAACGACTTCCAGTAAAATAACCGCCATAATAGACTACCCACAATGCACCACTGACCCGTATATATATAAATAGCCGAGAAAAATAAAAGCACACGTGGCCTGACGATTGCCTGACGAATGCATCAAGCATGAAACAGACTGTCGCCTCTAAGTGTTGATTTCTATGTTCACTTTTATATTTACATACGCTCTATCTCTGATATTGAGCACTTTATCCCATAAATATAGCACACCTTAAGACGATATTTCTTCATATATATATCCAGGTAATATGAGAACGAATAGAATACAATTCCAACGTTCGTAACATTTAATTTAAAAGAGGGCTCAATACAAAGTAAAGCAATCTTATTTATTTTAGGTTATTACATCGAAAAATCGCTACCCAATTGCAGTCGAGTTTCTCATCAGGCGATTGTAATACTGACGAGTGAATGATTTATTTGCAGTTCATTTAGATTTTATTTGAATTTTAAGGAAATCTAAATAAATTGTTCCCTCGCCAGTAATTTACAATCGCCTGATGAGATTCATTTGATACGCATTTTATTTTGCTTTTATTAAAACTTCAAATATGTCAGATCATTTTGCCGTACCCAGTATATACGAAATTTCTTGGACATTTTGGCCAGTAAATGCTTTTATTACTGTTTATTATAAATAGAGCATTTATATATATATATATATATATATATATATATATATATATATATATATATATATGAACATCATTTCATTGAATACGACCGACAAGGTGCTTTTATTTAATTTTTAGTTTTTTATACCATTTCTCATGCGATCTAATAATTGTTTTCTTTTCGGATGATAAATTATATAAAAACTGTTCTTTTTATCCGAGCGCTTTCGGCTATACATTTAGCCATTTTCAAGGATTAAATATTTCAACTGTTAAATAAGAAATAGTTTTGTTTTCTTTTCGAATGAATAAATAATAAAAATAAAAGCACCTTGCCTGTCATATTCAATGAAATGTGCATGAAAGAAGGATTGCTGCCTAAATACACAAATATATATATATATATATATATATATATATATATTGTCATCCACAGACAGATTGTTTCGCTGTATCACAGTTCTTCAGTGTGACTAGACGTCCGACTGCTTCAAGCCGGGATCGAAACCCGACTGATTTGACATCAGTCACGGATCCTACCCCTAGGCCAGAGAAAAGGAAAATCTTAACGTTTTTTCTATGCGAAATACGCCAGCGGCCCAGAGAACTCAATTCGTAC